TTTTGTGCTCATCTTACTCTTTAATCATGCAAAAAGGTCAATATTTGAAAAGCCTAATTTTGCATCGATAAGACAATGTAAGGAGAGTGTCAAAACGAACCTGTCCACTGCAGAAAGGGCCAGCTCCTATGCCAATGGTTGGAATATGAAGAGCAGAGGTTGCAGCAGCAGCAACGGAAGGCGGAACACATTCTAAAACAACCGAAAAACATCCAGCTTCTTGTAAAGCCATAGCAGTTTCCACAACCTAAAATAACAGAGGAGAGATCTCTTTAATCACATCTTCAAAAAACAACCTTATAAGGATTACCACAGACATGAATTCTTAGTAGTTTCAGACCTTAACAGCACTAGCTATGTTTCTCCCTTGTGGCCTGAAACCACCAAGAACACTTATAGCTTGAGGAGTCAATCCAACATGTCCCATAACCGCAATTCCAGCTTCAACAATGGATTTTGCAGCAGTGATTCTTGAAGGTGATCCTCCTTCAAGTTTAATAGCATCCATTCCTCCTTCTTTCAACACTCTAACTGCAGTATCAACCGCCTGAAACATCATTTAAAGCAAAACTTAAAACAACCAAAATTGATCCTTTGCTCAAACAATTCAAGTCTCAAAGAGCCATAAAAATCCCAACTTGGTAGTGATTTCAAAGAGATTACCAGACAAAATGGATCATTTGGGTTGTAATTTTTCCCCTCACAATATGCTAAATTTGAAACAAAGCATCAAACTTTCGAGTGTAATCGATGATTACTTACCTGAGTGTTGCTGGATTCGTAAGAACCGAACGGCAAATCGCCGACTAGAAGTGGCCGTTTAGCTCCACGAGCAACGGCACGACAGTGAACGAGCATCTCGTCTAAGGAGATAGGAAGGGTTGTGTCATGACCATGAACAACCATTGAAGCTGAATCTCCGACAAGACAAACATCAATTCCGGCAGTATCTATGTGAACGGCTGATGGGTAATCGTAAGCGGTGACGACGGTAATCGGCTCACCTTTCCGATGTTTCTGTCTCAATTGCGTCAAAGTCACTCTCTGGTTCGGGTTTTGCTGTTTCGGTCCACCGTAAACGGTATTTTCCGGTACGTTGCTCATAAACCGGACGGTAGTTATGGTTCTCGCCGCACGAGAGCAACTCTTGATAAGCGAAGAAGCCATTGCTGATGAAATGCGATCGAAATTCGAACCGAAACTAAAATGAGTTTACATTTTTAGACTTTTTTTCTTCTACCTTTTTAGATAAAGTTTTTTTCTTCTTTTTAAATAGAGAAAAATTAAAGAGAAATTTCAAAAAATGCATGTCATTTTACAAAAATACCACACTTTTAAAATCTTTAAAAAATATCACTTTTTAAAAATTACTTTTTTTTTATATTACGTATGTTTGGGTTAATTATGTTCTATTATGGTTTAGTTATAAGGGTTTAAGGGGGTTTAGGGGTCAAAACATTTTATAGTGTTTAGAATTTTAAGATATAGGGTTTAAAAATCTATAATTAGTGGTATTTTTGCAAATGCACACTCCTAAGTGGCATTTTTATAATTTTCCCAAAATTTAAAGGTATCTTGGAGTATATAAAGCAGAGTTACATTCTTGAAAACGGTACATTACATTCTCTTTTGTCAATTCTTTTTACTCTGTTAAATATATAAGGTTTCTGGTTTGGATTTAATACTGATTTTGGCAAAAGTGAATTGGCAAATGGTTTAAATCAGATTTGCATTTGAAAACCCATTAGATGTCGCTTGTAAGATCAA